TGTTTCAGGATCACTGCTTCCGATTATTGACCTTTCTCATTTACAGCTACCAGCTACCATGCACTCTGCAGGTTTATATATGGCCACAGGGCATGCAGCTGTATTTATATTTAGCCTTTATATCTATCAAATTTTCTGTTCCTCTCATTTCTCAGTCTCCACATAGTTTGCAGATCATTGCCTGTCTGTGTTTTAAGAAGCCAGGCAAAGAATTGATAAGGTATCATCACCACTTACATCCTCCTGAAACTACCAAAACTATCTGAGTAGCCTTCCATTCCTATTATTTTTCCATAGGAAAATATGTCATTTCACCTCTCTCTGCACAGCATGGGCTCTGCATGATTTAGGAGGTGAGGAGAGGAGGAAACACCCTCTCCTAGCACATCGGAAAGGAGTGCCTTCCATCGTGACTCCACAATTGCTAGGAAAACACTGTTGAACAGGACAGGATGACACAACATTAAAAGATCAGCTCCACCCCAGGTACCAACCCTCAAAGTCTCTACAAGGGAGTATTTATTCCAGGACAAGCAGTTGTGCCTAATGCTTGACAATGGGCTCACTGGGCCTCCTCCCAGAGAGATGCCAGAGTTGGAAAATGTGGGCTGGAACGGAAGGGAAGAACTCCTCTGAGAGAAACTGAGTGTGCACATCACTCAGTTTTTCCCTGGAAAAAGGCTTGAGTCAACCTGAGTTTTGTTTTCCAGCTCAGGCTGGATGCCACTTCCCCTTATGCCAACGCTGCTGACAAGTAAGTGTAACTTAAACCCTCACATAAAGGTTGGCAGTAGTTTGAAAAGGCCATGCATAAATAAGAATATAGTCAAATGGAGGAGTCTGGCTAGCCTTGTGTGGTACTGACACTGTTGGTGAGTGGAGTAAGAGGGAAAGAGCACTGTTGTGAAGCTCAGCTTGAAAGTCTGGCAAGAGCCTGGTAGAAGCATCTGCCTTTGAGCCACTTGCAGTAAATCAGGATGGCAGGGTGCTGGATGCAATACAATTTAAACCTTTTCTCCTTACTGCAAGCCAGGATTCACAACTGCATAAAAGCCACATTCTAGACTGATAGAGAAGGGGAAAAAAAAAAAGTAAAATTTATCTTCCAGCTACAGCAAATATTTTCCCTATGCCTATTACTGAGTCACTGTGCTATAACTGGGAGCCAAATTACAGATGCTCTCTACCCACTGGGAATGCCATGAAAGTCTATTTAACATATCAGGTGAAGTATGGAGAGTTCTCAAGTTCTGAATCTTTGCCACAGAAGCAATAGAAAGCCATGAAAACTGCTTACATTGGCCTAACTCTGACATCCAACTGAACACATGTAGACTGTGCTGTCAGTCAGCACTTCTTCATTTGTTTCTGTCTGCTTTTATTTGCATAACAGCTGTCCTTCTTGGGATGAAATGTTAAATTTATGAGCACGAGCCTTTGAAAACTCTCTCCTTGGTGGTCATGCACACGTTGCTTTTAGGCAGATGGGACCAGATGCTCCTCTCTCCTTTAAGGTCCCAAATGGCAATCAGGGGTGATGCCTCCAACAGTGTCTGTTGGGTGAGAAGGACAGGTACATCCAGCTCCCAGGTTAGACACGACACGGGCCGAAGCAGCACGCGGCCAGCAGCAGGCAGCTCCCAGAGCCTGACAGAGGTAATTGCTCTCCCTGAGCAGGGTGGGACGTGAAGGGCCGTGCTTTCTAACTGTATACCAAACAGCTTAGGTTGTTCACAGCCTCCACGACTTCTAGCAAAATGGCTAAGAGAGGAATCACAATGACACAATGAGAAAAACAAACACAGCACAACTCCCAGAAACTGTTCAATGAATCATCAGTTACGGACTCCTCCTAAAACCGCCTGTGCCAATAGCGCTGAATGCACTGTGCTTGATCAGGATCTGCCACCCCACTGGGAACAGCCACTGTCACTGTCCAGGCTGTTCTGCTGGATCTGCTTTTCACACCAAGAACCTGTGGACTTCATTTGCATTGCATTATATGCAGACTTGAGGAGCCACTCAAAATGTGTCTTACTAAATACCTGAATAAAACTCTTTTTACAAAGTAAAGTAAACTAGATTTTCTCAGGAATCATGAGTCCGCTCAGCACTACAGACATGTTTGCTCCTAGGAGTGATCCTCAAAAAGGAACCATCCTCTGGTCTTCTTAATACACAAAAGAATGCATATGATTATTTTGGCAGTGGTGACAATCATTTCTTGCCATCCTTTATTGAATGGGCTTAAGTATATATGATATGAAACATTCTTTTAAACAAAAAAATGTGTGCGTTGTGCTAAAATGTGGCATATGCCATAATTTCAAAGTACAAGCCATGGAAGATACATTCAGATTTTGATTCATCTTCATCATATGACTTAATGTTTCAGTGAAGAGGGCTATTAAAAATTAGAGGATTTCTCATTCAATCTTTCCCGCAAACAGTCTTGCACCATGTAGCACAGTTTCCAGAAATCACAAAATAAATATGAAATCAACTCTTTAATCCCAAATATGGAGAAACACATGGCACAGTCCAGTAGGAAACATCTGTAGGTTTCTGATCTCTGGCAAGTAATCTACACAGACTAGTCTGCCAGAGAAAAGGTCAACTAAAGAGTAGAAAGAGTCTCTAGCATCATCCCAGGGACTTCTGATACTCTTAGGGGAAGGGGAGTTGTTTAAATAAGTTCTTAGTTTCCCAGTGCCATGGGAATTTCTGGTGCCACAGGTATGGAGCTGATGTGAATGACACATATTTTTCCTTAGTGGTCCTTCTGTAAATGAAGCACCATTTTTACTCTCCAAGCCATTAAAAGCTGTTTTAGTGACTGGTATTGGGAGTTCCAAAAATTCTCAATAATAAAAACTTTCAATGAGTGTTTCCTACTTCCCTTGATATATGCAAATACTTATTTTAATTAAAGCAATAATAGACATATCAGAAAGATGTGATTATCAATTAACCCATCAAAGAACCTGAGAGCCTTTAGCATTTGCCCAGTTGGTTCCTAGTATCTAGAGAAGAACACTTTGGAAAAGTAAGATTTCTTTGCAGAAATTGCTCCACTCAAGGCCAAGTGAGTGCATAGTAAATAAGTGAGCTGATTTTTTACCTGCGAAGATTAAGTCATACTGAGATAATTTTCTTAGTCTGCGTGCAGGCTCCCTGAAGTAAACATGAAGCTCAAAAATCTAGTCTTAAGTCTGACGTGAAAATGGGTTTCATAGTTTCATCTTTTAATCAAAAAACGAAGACTGTGATCCTTTCTGCCTGAAGTTAGACAGAATTCAGCTACTGAAAACAGTAAGAGTGTACCCAGTGCCACACCTAAATTATTAGTAACTATTTTTCTTTAAGTCTGATGCATACTTTACAGCAGAACCCCAAACACACTACCTGCCAGAGACAGTACCTGTGTGTGTTCAATCCTATTGGCACCTTCGGGAAAAAAGGCATTTGAGAGCCCTCACGCAAGTTGGCAACCTTTCCAATTGCACCTTACAACTAGAAGCATTGTATATATAATTAAATAGGATTTCTAGTATTACTACTGTCACCTTAAAAAGGTATTTGCCTAAAAACATGAGGTCTGGCCCTCCAGTCTGATAACACTGCTTCGTATCCTTCTGTTTCTGCAAAGAAGCCTAAAGTTGACAGGCCAGGCTCTGGTTCCAAATACATTCCTTCAGAATCAGTGATGGCTCAAGATATCCCGGTCCCTGCTCTCCTGGCTTCCTTGTATCCACACAATTGTCGGTGTGGCTTGTGATGAACCAGATCAGGGAATTAGTCTAGATGAAGAGTGACTTGGGTTTCTTTCAGCTGTGTCATTTCTATAAGGTTGCTGGCTGCAAAAACCAGCTTATTTAGCATTGCCACTTAACGTGAAGCCATAGCTCTGGACAGTTCCAGACAGCTTTGGGCAGTTCGGTATCTTGTACTTCATGGGATTTTGTGGTTGTACAGGGTAAAATTTTAGATGTTTCTGGGCTGCCTGTCTTTGAAGATTCAGCAGAGATCCACTATATGGATCAAAACAAAGCCTCAAACATCTTTAAACGATACTTATTTCAAATTTGAATGAAAATTTCCTGAGCTTTACCCTCTGAGCAAAGTGGAAAGTGTTGTCCATCTCAAAATACATGGAATTCACATGTCCACACAGGGATGGCAACGGAATTGCATCTATCACTATTTGCTAGGAATTAAGATTGGTGTGAAAATCATCCTAACACAAGTTCTACAGGACAATATACTAAGTCTAAATATGAAAGAGAAGGTATCCAGTATCTGTTAAGGAGCTGCAGAACCTGCTTTAAAAGACCTGCTTGCTTGAATAAAATGTTGCATGCTAAGCCAGTGAGGCTCTGCTTGAGCTCAGGAGTCTGTCTGCCACATGCAGCCTAATTTTAAGTGGAAATTTTGCCTGAGTGCAGATGAAAAGCTGGGCTTTGAGGGAACACATTATCCTTAGGGAACACAAAATGACACAACATAAGGAGCAAATTCACTGCAACTTTTTTTGATCATTAGCCCTTATTCAGAGATACCAGCTGCAAAGCACTGCCTCCATAATAATTCATTACCTATTGCAAATCTATTGTCCGAATGCTTCAAAATAACAAACGATTAGCTCAACTTACCCAAAGAGAAGAAAATTCACTAGAACTTTTCCATTGCACACAGCTGTTATTAACATCAGCTGATTCACTATGTGTTTTCATGTCAGTCTTTACAAAGTATTTTGTACTGCGAAGAAGGACCATGTATTGTAAAAACGATGATCCTGAACTAAGAAGGATATCTACCCATGACCTGAGCCCAGATATTGAAGTGTCTCATCCACATTAGTAAAATATTAACAGAGGTTACTGGTGGTTACAGTAAAATGAGAGGCTGCACTGAACATAATTTCATTTACGAACGTTCAGAAAATTGACATCATGCCTGCAAGAACGTATAAATAACCAGCACAGTGCCTTTCTGATCGTCTGCAGCAATATCTCTAAGGGAGCATTCTACAGGCTCAGCTCTTCTAAAGGCACAGCAGAAACTGGATTGTACACCGAGAAGCATCTTTTTATAAAACAGCTCTGAGAACGTCTGCCAGATTTTTCCTCTGCCTTTAATTGTGTTTGCCATTTCTTTAAAAAAACATGTGCACGGGAGGTTGTGCTAAGTGCCTGGGAACCACTCTTATCCCTCTGGCTGTGCTATGTACCCTCGCTAACATTTTGTTGTTTTTCCCTGGAGGAAAAGTGGTTGAAAACAACGTACACATTACAAATGAGGTTTGGTACTTCGGAGGGATCTTGGGATCTGGTGTATTGGTGAGTATATAAATTCAGACATTCCCACCTTCCCCCCCATCTCCCCACCCCCCATGCCATGACTTTGCATTGTTGAATTTCCTCAGCACCTCAAATGCAGGTTCCAACACTGCAAATACTTCTTTGATAAACAAATAAGTTACAAATCATCCATCAATAAGTAACTTAATTTAGTGATAAAAAAAAAGACATAGAACTTCTATATTTAAAAGCAAATGTAACTAGAATTCATCCCAATTCAAACTTTACTTCTGTTATTGGTAGATGATCTTTCCTGCCTTGGTATTTTTGGGCCTTAAGAATAATGATTGCTGTGGATGCTGTGGTAATGAGAGCTGTGGAAAGAGGTTTGCGGTAAGTGAGAGGAAACATGGCAAAAAAGTAAAAGCTAAATTGTTACTGATATGATATATATGTTATCTTCTGCTCACAGTCATTGAGAGACTAGACAGATGGGGTCCAGAGCATAGGACACAAAGCCCTGCCATTTGTCTGAGTGCTGGAAAGTAGAAATAGCAGGCTGTAAAAATTGTATTATGCCTTTGATGTTGTGCCACAGGTACCCCAACTGTACTGCGTCGTTGTGTTTTGCCATCACAAGATACTTACAGTTGGTATCACAATTAAAACTAATTTCTGAAAGATCTGCACTTTGTTTTGCAGAGCACAACAGTTCTCTCTTTAGTCATTTTTTGTTGGCAGTTTTTAAAATTACTCTGACAGTTGGGCACTACATTCCCAGCTCATTGCAGACCCATGCAATGGGCTGCGAGTGTCTCATTAGGTTCAGAGGAAATTTCAGGTTGGAAGAGACCTCGGGAGGTCACCTAATCCCACCTCCTGCTTAAAGCCAGGGAAACCAGGCTCCACTTTGAATTTATAGCTTCATTTCACATCACAAGTGAAAAGTTTCAAATGGATACCATCAGACACGGGTAAACATTTCAAGCAATTTAGTTTAAAAATGAGATTAGAGAAAAAATAAATATACTTCTACTAGGAAAGTCTGTGCTTTTGAAATAAGTTGTTTGGCTCTAGTAGATCATTACACTTTTTTATAAGGGAACATGTTTTCAATTGAAAAAAAAGGAAAAAACAAATAGGAAATGAATCATGACTGTGATGTTAACAAAGAGTCTTCCCTAAGTCCCATCTTTGATGCTGTCTTCATGCAATCCCAACAAACCAGGTGGAACTTCGAGGAGGGGGAAATGGAGCCACATACTTCTCTCCACCATATTGTATTATCAATTTTCTGTTAGCAGTGAACATATCTTAGTTTAGCTTTGAAGACCATGTATAACTCAGCAACTACCAAACTACTGACGCTTTGCTGCCAGGCTGCCACTCACACCTCTGCAATGCAGCTGAACTGAGCACATGGTTCTACACGGCGGGGGGACGCAGGGACAAACCAGCTGTGAGCACTCATTGGCATGGGTAAGCTAAACCGTGTACACACGGTGCTGCCCAGAAAGCAACCTATGTTCTGCAGTGCGGTACCTTGTTGACAGCTCACATTAGAGCGCAGCTGACTGAGAGACTGGGAATATTAATAGTCACAAGTACTAAGTACACCATACTAGAAGAGTCCTGATGGCCTTACCACAGCATGACTGAGAACTGGATTTGTTCTTGTATGTTAGCAGAAACACCATTATTATATCTACTACATAAATATTAATGTTTAAGTTAGCCCCATCAGATATATCAACATAAAAATGCATGTCTACCCTCAAGGCAAGAGTCTTGTGATGTGGTTTGAATAAAAGCTCACAGACCTGAAAGTATGTTTCTGTTTTTCCTCCACCTATACCACTTTGATACGATAAAATATACTACCTCTACTTATAAACTATTACGGCTACAAGTGCTTCAGAATTCAAGCAGGGCATTAGTTTTTGCATTATTTACTTACATATTAGTATATATGAAAATACTGTAATGGAAAGCCAGAAAAATAAAGACATCCTTTCCAATCCACTCCAATTGCACTATTGGAGCTAATGATGACAAATACCTGTGAGGAGGTAAAGCATATGAACATGAATCCTGAAGGGGAGACTCAGGAAGGAAAAACATAATTACTTGGTCCAAATATGACCCAGATATCAAGGCTAACTTGTAACGGGTACTGTAGATTATTTTTTTTTAATGCCTTGAGTGGTCAAAGGCTTCAGTCTTGCTTGTAATCTCTTGAGAAAGACATCCACTTCAGTGAAACACAGGACCTTGAACAACAACGAGGGCTATTGGATAAATACTGTCTAAAGGGGAGGAGTGCCATCTACTGTGTCAGCATCCACCCCTCTCGTGCTCATTCTTTTAAAGCTTTTAAACACCAGTGCAGGCATGTGTTATACATTTATTATGTAATTGCAAACTAATATATTTTAGCTGTTCAGGAGTTGACTATTTTGAGTGTTAAGAGCTGAATTTAGGGAATGTACGTTCGCATTAATAGGGTACATTTCATTGTTTGAATGAGAACAAAAATAACATTATTTTTCTCTTCATCAGATGTTTTCTTCTATAATATTTGCTGCAGTTGGAGTTCTGGGAGCTGGATACTGCTTTGTTTTGTCAGCAGTAGCCCTAAACAGAGGCCCTAAATGTTACAATGGAACAGAGTGGACCTATCCTTTCCAGGATGGGTAAGACAAGACAATCAGAAAAAAAACTTATACATGTTTTAAGTTTGTGATATGATTTAACTTCCAAATCCATTGTATAAAAATGGGAATTATACTGTTTGTATAAAACACAGAAGGTCTTAAAAGAGCCAGCAATGCACAGCAATACTAAATAAGGTTCAAGAGCACGGATGTAAAGAATAGCAAGTACAATCAAAGCTACTGAGTTTCAAAGGACCCAATAAAGAGAAACACACAGCCTTCTAGGTTATTCTTGGGGATGATAAGCAGCATACAGGGATAAATTCCGCCATGAATTCCAGCATGACATCTTATATTGACATGTGATGGTATTCAAATAATTAGTATCTATGTGTCATTTTATCTTGGTTATGGAATTTGGAAGTTGTCTGTTCCCCACACTGCAACTCAAACATGTTTGCTGTCATGTATATTTATCATTTTCAGTGAGGTGGTGTGAAGGACCAATTGCTCAGGGCTGAAGTCAGCAAAGGTTCAACTGAAAACAGGGTGCAATGTGTTACCAAGGAGAGCAGGTGTGATCAGAACAGATCGACAAGGGGTGCAGTAAACCCCTCATCACCTGAGGATCTTAAATGCAGTCTTCCTCAGTCAAGAGTGACCTACCAGCATTTCTTGCATAATACACCACAAAATTATAGTTCAGGTTGAAAAGAAAAAAAAAGAAAAAAAGAAGTATAATGTTGTATGTTACACATCATTTGTTCATGTGCCAGTGAGGGCTGGAAACCAACTGCTTTGGTCTAATTCTGGGAATCTTTGGAAAAATATGTTCTGTTTCAAACATAATTCTGGTTACAGTCAAGGACCACAGGAAGCAAAACAGCATTAAGTATATGCAGAGGAAATGTAGTAAGTGGTTAAGCCGTCCACAATTAAATCAAAACCTGACGGTAAAAATTACAGGAAATACTTTTATCTAATACTGCTGTTCTTTAGATGAGGCATCTAGAACAGCAAAGGTTCTTTCCCGCTCGGTGGGCAAGAGGTAACTGGTCTGGTAGAATTTGACGTTTTGTAAGGAAAACTGAGTTTATTCATCTTTTATCATACTGTTTTGATAATTCACCTGTTTCGTTCTTATTACAACGTACGCGCGCACACACACACACACACATATGCATGTGCAACCACAAAAATCTAATACTGTAATCAAGTAAAAGCCTGGGGTCTCTGCCACGGAGGAGTTATAGAAGGTGCCACACTCCCGAGGAGACCCTGTGAGTCCCGTATCTGTAGGGGTATGCTTTGTGAGTGTATTATGAATATGACCCAGCAATGTGCGTTTGCAGCCCAGAAAGCCAACCGCATCCTGGGCTGCATCAAAAGAAGCATGACTAGCAGGTGGAGGGAGGGGATTATCCCCCTCTGCTCTGCTCCTGTGAGACCCCACCTGCAGTACTGCATTCAGCTCTGGGGCCCCCAACATAAGAAGGACATGGACCTGTTGGAGCGAGTCCAGAGGAGGGCCACAAAGGTTATCAGGGGGCTGGAGCACCTCTCCTATGAAGACAGGCTGAGAGCCTTGGGGCTGTTCAGCCTGGAGAAGAGAGGGCTCTGGGGAGACCTTATAGCAGCCTTCCAGTACCTAAAGGGGACCTACAGGAGAGATGGGGACGGACTTTTTACAAGGGCATGTAGTGATAGGACAAGGGGTAATGGCTTTAAACTGAAAGAGGGTAGATTTAGATTAGATGTAAGGAAGTTCTTCACTGTGAGGGTGGTGAGGCACTGGAACAGGTTGCCCAGAGAGGCTGTGGCTGCCCCATCCCTGGAAGTGTTCAAGGCCAGGTTGGACGGAGCTTTGAGCAACCTGGTCTACTGGAAGGTGTCCCTGCCCATGGCAGGGGGCTTGGAACTGGATGATCTTTAAGGTCCATTCCAACCCAAACCGTTCTATGATTCTATGATTCTATTACACACCGCCAGATGTCAGCTCTGCTTCACCTGGCAAAGAACCGCAACATCAGTAGCAAAGATGCCTTTGACAAAAGACATTGGCACAGATGAACATGCATTTGGCACATGCTTGGTGAAGACCTCCTCCTCCCAAAATACCAGAATCTGTTCAATTGTATCAAACACATACTCATCTCTGATTGTTCTCTTCTGATGCCTTGTCTTTTCAAATCAATTGCTTCAATTGATGTAGAAACTAAAACAAAATCATGTTCCAGATATCTAGCACCAGCGTGATAATGGAAATTCTTTCTTGCAGTACTGAAGCTAACAGAACCTCAGCCGTATCACAACAGCGACAACTTGTCAGCTGTGACAGACTTCCTCTCTGTGAGCTAACATCGTTGTCTTCATAACTGTTTTGTTCCCACCCCCAGGAATTACCTCGCTAACCACACATTGTGGAATGCGTGTCAGTCACCCGAAAACATAGTCCCGTGGAACCTAACCCTCTTCTCCTTGCTGCTCGTCATGAGTGGGATCCAGGTAGTGCTCTGTGGCATTCAGGTGGTGAATGGCCTGTTGGGAACAATCTGTGGGGACTGCCAATGTTGTGGATGTTGTGGGGTGAGCAACTGATGTTTTTCTTTCATTATTTTGTGTACTGATAATAGTTATATATACACCTGACTAACTGACAATCTGAAAAACTAAACTAGCCTTTGTTCAACACGATGATTATGATTTCTAAAGTACAGCTGAAACCCTACAGTGTTGCCAGGTGCTGAAGATATGATCTCAGTCCATATCTATGGTGTTTATCTGACAGCTTGCAATAGCCACTGGGAAATAATAAAAACCTTTGAAAGTCACAGGAATAGTAGCCACTAAATTACCTCCATGTTCTTCTTCTTTCAGGGAGATGGAACTGTCTAAAGAATATGAATATTGCAGACAACCCTCCTTACCTTGGGATGCTCCCTTTTATGTTCCATAAAGCACCCCTCAGATGCATCGTCTCTCGCTAAGAAGGTGAGAATGAAGGGCACTTCCCCCCACTAATGTTACGAAGCCCTGACTCCCTTTCTAGCCTTCCTGAAACCCCTCATTGTGGAATAAAATAAGTGAAATTCAACTCTCACATTCATATTTATTTTTGTAAAACAGCTTCCATTTAAAAAGAGGGTATTCTCAGGCAAAGTATTTTCTCTCCTGAGTCAGCTTTCCACCTGGAGATCACCAAATACTCTGGTACAAGCCCAGTTGTAACGCAGTTGTGTGTATTTTCCTTTGAGGTTTATCAGATGGAAACATTGCAAGTCTAACTTTTGTTAAGTATGTTTATGTTACATGGAAAAGTGAGGACTTTTCTCTTCCGACCTGCTCTGATTAAAATGCTCTCTATAAAGAGAGTCTCTGTTACAAAAGAGATTCGTGAATCTCATGGTGAGGTCTCTTTTCTTGACTCTGTCTGACAGATGGCTGTATTCAGGAGCACTGCTGTGCAGGCAAGTGTAGGGTCAAAGTAAGAGGCAAAAGAAGAGAGTACTGTGGATCTCTAGTCTGAGGTGTTATGAGTTATCTTGGACACCACAATACCCTGCTTCACACCAGGAATTCAGTGAGAAAGGGCAATTCACAGCCATTTTGCAGCATGGTGGGGATTTGCCTTCTTAACTAATCCATAATCAATTTTCCTCCAGTCACTCTCACCAGAGGGAATGTAACAACACAGTATGGCTGTAGAAGATGACACTGAAAACAGAGAGTATAAGAATACGGGAGACTTATAGAGAGACTTTCCCAGCCTACAATTCTTTGTACTCCAGGGACCTCCTGAGACAAAGGTTCCATCTCTGCATTGACATCTTCTTGAGGGACTCCTTCTCCATGAAGCTGTCCAGTTGTTTCTTGGATCACAATATCCCTTCCATAGTCTAACTCCATGTTGTGGGAAGAACTTCCTTTGTTCTGACCCTGCCACCTGTTCCTTTTGTTTGATGCCTCCTAGTTCTTGCCTGCAAGGAAGAGTACACAGCCAGTCCTACCCCTTCTTCCCCATGATACCTAATTTCATAGGTTCTCCCATATCTCCTCTCAGCTCCCTCTTTTTTTAGCCTGAAGAACATTAGTATATTTAGCTATTCTTCATACAGAAGTTGTTTCACCTTTATTGGAAGTTTTTTTCAACTTTCCCCATTACACTCTGAGATGGGAGGGACAGAGCAGCAGTGTTCCAGGTACAGGCACACTGCCCTAGCCATTTATTCTAACAGCAAAGTTCATTAGCTACAAAGACAAGGATGAACCACAACCTGATTGGTCCCTACTGTGAATCCCACAGGTCTTGTCTTGTTAGAGAGCAAGCCAATTTCTCATACAGAACATCATCTTCAAACACTGGCTCCAAACAAATGGTAAATGAAGCTTCATTTCTAGAAAATCAAATAATTTTCCACATCTCTGACAAAATATAAAATTGGTACCCATGAAAAGGAGAGGGACATACCCTATTTAAATCCAGCTACGTGATGAGAAAATTAAAACTTCAACATACATATCTATTTACATGCTGAAATATGTCCTATACCCGTAATCCTTGTCTTGAATCTCTTGTACAGAAACTGCACAGCCTGTATAAGTTAATATACACAGTATATAATGTTAATATAAATGTATATAATGTTAATATAAATATTCACAGTACGTAACCAAATCTGTTTCTACTTGTGAAGTAAAAGGGCTTTTAACCCCCTGTTCATGGCACTAACTAACCAATGGTGATCTCTTGTCTAACAATGTGGTGATGTGGTGACTTAGAGTCACAGATAAACAGGTCTGGGAGGCATCTCTGGAGCCTACCTTTGTAAGCAAAGGCAGAGCAAACAACACTTAAAAAATTTGTAAGACATCTGTGTAACCTGTTCTTAAAAATCTCTAAGTTCAGAGATCCAGCACCTTCAGTATTTTATAACACTGCTAACTGTTCTGAAAGTTAGAAAGACTTTCTTAATGTGCAATCATGCACACCCCTGGTACAAAGCTATTCTCTTCCTGGTGGGCTTATGGAAAAGTCTTGCTGTTCACAGCAAACTTTTACATACTTGGAAACCCCTATCATGTTTTGATCCTCATGTCTGACAAAACAAAAATTTTCACTCTTTCATCATAACTGATGTTCTTTCACAACTCAGTATTCATGTTGTGCTCCTGCAAGCTTCTCCTACAACTTTCCAGAAGCTGAACACTCGACTTGTGGCTTCAACACAGGTTAAAATTTCTATTCAGTCGAGTTCAGTAGCTTGTAACAGCTCTTCCTAAAGCTTCCAATCTATACATGAGTGCAAATGCTGTTTATTCATCTTTTTTGCAGAAGTTCAATTTAGCTGTGTTGGGCACAGTGCTATGAAACAGACAGGAAAGGCAAAAGAGATAGGAAAGGCAAAAGTACTTTTTTAGAAAGAACTAGTCTTTTAAAATTTAAAACCTATTTCCCAAAGAAATCAAGGAGGAAATAAGAAGGACTGGAGAAGTTTGAGGGATCCAGATCAACTAGTATGCTTCTTAAGAAATTCCTAAAACAAATTTTCACAAACCAGCTTGCCAGACTGCATGTCTCAAGGCTTCTAGTTCATCAATGTATTTGCCACATCTCTTCCCACAAGTTTTCCTCCTGAAATAACGATTCTGTGGCCTGTGCTTTCAGAAAATGTATTTCATGTACTTTGTATCGACACTAGAGGTAACCAAAGAACTTAAAAGCATTCAGAAGCACTAAAAGCTGGTGAGCCATATGCAAAAATGTTAAATAGCTAGATTAAGGTACTAAGAGTTACATTAATAAAAGCAAAGTGGCCTCAGTGATACATTGTGCAAGATGATAAAAGAAATTATAAAAAAACCTCTTTAGAAACAGCTGTCTCTCCCACCTGTTCTATGCCATTGCTAGGGAATTTGAGAGTACCCTTTATATCACCACCCACTGATGCAACCATCTTGCATCTATTATTTCATCTGTGGTTAGCAGCTGTCCTGCACCTCATCTCACATTTGTCTTCTTTATATGAAGCCTTTGGGAACATGGAATGTTTCTCATCAGCATTCAACAAAGGGACGGGTAGCTGCATAGTGTACAATTTTAATATATTAATAAACAGAATACATACATCTTTGTGGGAGACTTGGGATAAGAAATAACAGACAGGAAGCTACAATACCTAAACCCCAAAACAACAGGTGCTTCATGAGTCAATGCTTCTAAGATGCCCAACTACACAGTGGTTTTCTAACATCAGCTAATACACAGTAGATACCGAGACAAGGCACACACATTTCATCTTGTGATCTGGACTGCATTTGCACCTTAGCCTTGGGGTGTACTGAACAAGCACAAATGAACTGGAACCAGCAGCTCCGCTGATCTAGCATTTTAAAGTGCCAACAACAGTGTTCCTAAATCTATGCAGTTACAGTTAACATCTGAGGCTCTCCCCTAGCATTTTATTTCAAGGGAATCACACATTTCCAGTATCAGTTCTGCAGTAACTGGAGATTGCTCTGTGTGTTTTTACTGAGCGAAGCGTCCAGTAAAATCAAGGAGAGAGACTGATCGTAGATTGTTGTAACAGAGAAAGATATAATGGGCCAGTGGTACTCCTGGGAGAGAAGTCACAGATGAAGAGACTACGATGCTAGACAGGGACAGAAAGACGATGGCAAGAGAGAAATGAAGAACAGGGAGAACTGAGTGTTAAAACAGACCTCAGTAGTCCTGACCAGCTTGAACACCATATTCAGTTTTACTGTGTACAAATGTCAACATATATATGCTTATACAAATACAGAAATCCTAGTAGCCTAAAGGAAAAATATTAGTACCATTTGTAAAATCTCAGAGATGCACATGTTACCTGAAGCTTCGTTATTCGCCCATAAAAACTGGCTGCTCAGTGACTGGTTGACTAGGGTGCTGAGAGCATGGCTATTCTGACACTGCACAGCATTGTTTCAGCTGAGAGTTTACATAAAAAGCAACACACAGGTTATTTAACAACTCAGATTACAACACGTGGAGTGGGTGCACGTGATTTTGAGCCCACGCATTTCAACTTCAGCCTGACAAAACTGGTGCCCCTACATGACTCAACTACATACAGTTGGAGCTCTCTCTATTGATGGTCTCCAATAAATCGACTGCAACAAGGTGATACATTAACCACAGTACAGCGTCACCTCTCAGGGAAGGATGCATTATTTAACTGGCAACTCTTCGCAAAAGGTTCATTTCTAAAATCAGGAAGTAACATCCACAAAGTTAAAAGATGTTTGCTCAGCCAAGAGCAAAGGGTGTTTTCTCACATCATTCTAGTCTTCAATGTTCATCGCCTGCCCCCAGTTCAACTTTATCCCCCCCTCGTGTCTTCTACATTACTCATGATGCAACCAGCAATAAGGCAAACAATGGCAAACTCTGGAACAACCCCTGCTGCCCGAGGATGGGGAGACCGACTCGTTCAACGGCACGGCTAGGGGCGGGGTCTTTGCTCGAGAGCACGGGCACTGGTGTCACACTGATGGACACGAATGAAAACCCAGATAAAACACCTCTGAAGTTTTTTCTTGCCAAATTCCTTCTTCACTGGGACAGGATACACCATTTAACTGAAACGACAAAAGCTCAGCCAAGCGCAATGGGACTTTATCTTACAGACATCTTCACCTGCGAAGCATCGCCACTCTCCTCCACCAGTCACCGCCAATTTGCTGCAGGACGCTTTGCTGAAATACAGATTGCTCCCACCTGCGGGTCCAGACAGCCCAGAGCAAAAAAAATCACGGTTAAGCACTGGAGAATACACCATTAATACAGGAATTAATCGCACCAACCAGAGCAGCTTCCCGCGTGACTTGGAGACCGGTGGGCGCAGAGAACGGCG